AAAAAAAGATACCACAGGTCCTGGTGCTGTTGGCAAGTTCTTCCACAGGTTTCTTCTCCTCTCCCCAGATGCCTACTCCCACTACCTGACCTCACCACCCAGTGACGCTCCTGCAAACACTCTCAACTCCAACATGCAGCGAGTCTCCATTCTTTATTTCCCTCCCACCTAATGTTTCCAAAAAGAAACCTACTAAATACTACATGAGGAAAAAAATTAAATATTTAAGGAAGTACAGAAACTCAGGTTACCAAAGCACTATTGCTCCCTTTCTGTCCTCAAACTTCAAGGGCAGGTCTGGTCTCCTGTCGCCCCAGCAATCAACAGGTCTTACTTTCCACCAGAAAGCAGCAATCCTCTTTCTTTCTAACTCTCTACCAAATTTCCATTCATCAACTCAAAAATATACACTCAGTAAACACTATGTGCCAAGCACCAATCTGGCTCCTGGGGACACAAAGATAAACAATTCAGAAAGTTCTCTGCTCTCATGGCACTTACCATCTAGTGAACAATGATGTATAAGTACACAGGCACCTGAATATGCATACTCATGCATAAATATGAATATACACACAACACATAAGGGGGCGGGGAGTACAATAAAGACAACAGAAGGATGTGACTGGGGGTGATCAGGGTTCCTTTTCCTTGAAGCCTTCTCCGAGAAAACATACTGAAACTGAGACTTGACTGAGCTGGAGCCTGCCCTCTGAAAACCAGTGAGAGAGGCACATTCGTGACAGAAAGAACGAGTTGGAAAGGCTACAATACAGGAGAGGGCAGCAACCTAATGTTGGGTTTGTGAAGATCACTTTGGCTGTTCCGCAAGGGATGAACTGTCTGAGGACAAAGGTGGGCACAGGGAGACTGATTAAGAAGCTTCTGCAATGTTCTAAGGGTGAGCCAACTGTGGCTTCCATGGCTGGAAGAAACAAAGGCTTGCAGTTTGTTTTAGAAATAGAGTCAGCTTGACTTGCTGATAGTGTGGATATGGACGATAAGGAAATGAAGGAAGATTCTGGGAGTTTAGGCACTTTCCCATTTTGTTATGGATAACAGGTCTAAAGGAACTTTTTTTTTTCTTTTGAACAACTGATAGCACCACGTTGACCCATATAAGACACAATACATACATAACCTCCCCCTTCAAGCAAAATCTGCCCCTATACTCGGTGTAACAACTTGGTAACTTAAAGCTGGCAAATGATACCTCAGTGATGCAATAGTCATAAAATAAAGAATTTTATGTGGTTCTTCACCTTCAGTTTCTTGAATTAAGATTTCGTAGAATATAATGACTGATGGAGATGAAAAATGGGGCAAAAAAGTAAAAAGTGAAATATTTCTTGGAAAGTGTCCTATTCCTAATTTGATAGTGTAAATCAGAAATCTCTTCAGCATCAAAGAGAACATATGATTGGGGGGGGGGGTGTTCTTTTAAAAACAGTTGGAAAACATTTATAATTAGGCCTTTATTTCCTAAAAGTAGGGTTCAGAATTAAAAGAAAATGAAAGCTATTTCAGAGAATAGGACAGTCCTCCAGACGGACAGAATAGAATCTCATAATGGAACCTCAGAAGAGAGAACAAAAGAATGGGGGGGGGGCAGGGAGTTTCTCAGACAGCCAGGAAGGAAATCTCCAGCTAACAGCTGTATATTATAATTACAGGGAAATCAAGTATTATGCATTGCATTGGTTAGATTCCTTTTCTCTCCTTGAATAGTTCACTTATTACCTATTTGATTTGGAGTTTGTGTGTATATTTATGGGAGGGGCTATCCTACATGAAAGTGGTATTTTGAAAAATCCAAACTACTGTTGCATACAATATCCTACAATTTCAATTTACCTGATTGTCTCATTATTAGATTCAGAATAAAAATCTGTTAATATTACATAACTGAAATTGTACCCTAATTATTATATCACATCAGAAAGAAAAAAAAAGTCTAATTGTCCATTTCCTGATGAAGAAGTTTGAT